GTTAAAATATGCGAAGGACTTGTAATGTTATGTTTGCAAATATATAAGTTCAATCATCACGCAAGACTTCCTCCACGGACTCCCAATGATGTCTGCTGCTGTTGTGTCCTTAGGCAAGACACTTCACCAACATTGCCTAGAATGAGTCTGGTGTTTGTGTGAATGGCTGGTGGTGGTCAGAGGGGCTGATGGCACATACTGGTTGCCTGGCTTCTGTCAGTGTGCCCCAGGGCAGCTGTGGCTACAGTAGTAGTTTATCACCACCGTGTATGGAGTGAATGAATAATGACTTATCATATTAGAAAATAGATTAATTAATAAAGACATTTAAAAAAAATTACCACACAGCCACAAATATAATTTTTTTTTTTTCTTAAGAATGTAAAATGTGTCAATTTGAAATGCAAGGAGTTCAACCAAAATGCAAAACTACAAAATAATGGATTTAATAAAAAAGTAATACAAATCAAAACACAGTGTAAACACCACAATAAGTAACAAAAACAAATGCAATATTATTATTATCATTATTATATTAGAAAATAGATAAATAAATAAAAAAACTCATTAAAAAAATTAAAGACAAAAATATTATATATTTATTACACTGCGGCTCCTTTTAACAGCAGTAGAACGCTCCATTGATTTGGGGACATTTTAGAACACATTTGCAGGGGATCGAATTATGGATTGAGGTTAAATTTATGTATGGGTCACTCACCGCTGATGTTCAGAATTCTTTATTCAGTTTTCATGCAGTTTGAGAGAGTTGTAGTTTGGAAGTTGCTAGCCTAATATTACTATCCATTATCCCTTACATATATTATGAGACCTTTAACGTCGGAGACTTGAGAGACATGAACGTCATGAAAACTGCCGCAAATGACAAAAAGGGCAAAACATTGAGTGAAATCTAAATGTTCTTTGAAATACAGCCCTGTAACCTGATTTGTGCTGCTGTTTGAAACAACTAAAACATGTGAAGGACTTGTAACATTATGCTTGCAAAGATCTCAGTTCAATCACGAGGCCTTTTACCGTCTGAGACTTGAGAGACCTGAGATATCGACAGCCCGGGCGTCATTAGAACAGCCGCTCGGTTCAGGCTCTGGCCCGCTGCTCTTTAATTGGCCCCTTCACAAAGCGAAAACTTCACAATCACAGTCAGATTATACGGCGGCGGCGCGAAGCAGAGAGGAATCCTGGGCACGCCGCTCGCCATCGATTAGCTCGCTCTATCAGCATTGTTTCAGCTCCTGGTTTTTTTTTTCTCTCCTTTCTTTTCGCACCGCGGGAGATTGCAATTTTCCGAGGTGGTCTTTGGGTAAACTATGCACAAGGTGAGATAAGGGACAGGAGCAGAGGGAAGTAGGTTGCACTGGGTTGTAATGTTCTCTGCTGACACATACTTTGTTTTTATGCCAGATTATTGTATCAGATTAGGGCTAAACATTTGGGATTATCTGCTGCAAATGTATTATTGAACTGAAGTTAAAGATTGAAGACATGGAGTATAGATGTATGTATCGACGGTGGAATGATAAAAAAACAAAAAAAAACATTTGTAACACGCAAACTTCACTAAGATAGACCATGTTTTCCGAGATTTCCGGGATTTGAACCCTGGACCAACTTCTTCTATCCACTCAGCCACCGTGCCGCAGTAGTTATCTGAACTTAGAAGCAGGGCTAACCACAATGAATGCATTCACCTATACGCATGGCTAAGCAGGATCCATGTATTTTATTGGAAGCATGGCTAACCGCAATGATTCCATCCACTTTGCTAACCTGCTGCATGTGGCAGATTTGTGGTTGACGTGTCTCTTTTTAATGTATGTCAAAATGTTTTTACAGTAACTAACCCGTTTTGAAATGAAAAGAGAAAAAGGGAAAATATTTGAGTTTAAAACGTAACTTGAGTATGTTTAGTTATTTAGGTAGTATGTTAAGAATTTTTAAGTTATTCAGTTATTTCAAACACAATTTCACAAGAAGTAAATGTAAAAACTAAATATTCAAGTCTATATTTATCACACTAGAACACACAGGACTTTATACTTCTTATTTTGCCAAATGTAGAGATTTTATGCTTCTTTCTTTGATTCTAGAGTTAGAGATTTTATTTTATTTTAGTATAGAGTTATCCTTCATATAATTTGTGCTGTGTGCTCCTCATTCTTACTGTATACTGTTCCTGGTGATGCAACACTGAAATATCCTTAAAGGGTAAATACCATAAAAAATCCACTGAGCCAGATTTGCTTAAAGGTCTCACCGATACAGCATGAAAGACTAAACGTAACCAACTTCGCAAGGTTTTACCAAATGCAACTAATTTAATGCTAACTCTGCTGCTACACAACTGTCAATCACTGGTTACAGCCCTGGTTTTTATGTAATGAACTGTTTTAAATTGTGCCTTTGAGTTCAACTTCCAACTTTTACATTTGCTTTTGTCTCATCCCAAAGCTCAGAAGGCAAAGTGAGGAAGAAACCGGTGACACTGTATTGATTCTACAGTGTGTGAGGTGAGACAAAAGGTCCTTAAACACACACACACACACACACACACACACACACACACACACACACACACACACACACACACACACACACACACACACACACACACCAGTCGTATCCTTCTGCCCAACATTAATCCTGAATCACATCACTCCAAAAGATAATATGAATATTTGTGGAAAAGAACACAAGAAATACCAACAATTCCAAGTTACTGTATAATGCTTAAGAAATACAGAATTAAAAGGTATAGAGGAGGATTTTACCATATTTTAGGAAAGAACCGCTCTCTGCAGTTTTTGAACAAAACTCTCTGGTCTTATTGGACGAGGACGCACCAGAATGATTGACAGTTGTGAGGACCAATAGTCTTGATAATCCACCCGGAAGTATAAAATCCTCCTATATACATTTAATCACAAAGCACAACTCCAGTTTCCAGGAAAAACAAATAAGACATGACTAAAGTTGACATTAATAGGTCCTGATTAAAACGGGTTGAAATCACAGATAAAACTGGACACTGTATTTACTGCGTATACACCTAATCATTTTGACTTTCAGCAGAGAAGCTCAGAGAAACAGATTCCGTTGTTCAAAGACGATTGAGGCTCTTTGTAGCGTGTGGAATTATATGTAGCCTTTGCTTTTACATTAAACTGGGCAAAAGACAAAGAAAAGTGTTTGAAGCTTACATTCCAAGAGGGACCTCTACACAGACAGTTTTTTAACCTAAGTACTAATACGGAAATATACACAAAACAAGTATATCTGACTTTTTTTAATTTTTTTATTGTGTGTATAGAACATAGACTATATACATTTTGTTTAATATTTTTTTATGTCATACTAGAGACATAACTAATAAACAGCTATAAATTCAATCATCTATTGTTCTTTTGTTCCATGTTCATACAAGAATCCGTTTTTTTTTTACATGAATACATATACGTTATTTACATATTTATTTTCATTTTTGGTCATTTCTTTGTTTTGCTTTGTTGTGACTATTGTTTTTTACTTTATTGTTATTTATATAGTAGTAATAAAGTATAAGTATTATTTATTTAATTTGGGGGGAAAAAAATTAAAGAAAATAAATGGTGGTCTTACTATGCTGTATGTAGCATGAAAAAAGTGTGAATTAATCAGACACAGTGACGTAAAAAAAAAAAAATCTCTACTTTTTGTACATTTTTGTCTTTTCACCCTTTAAAAGTTTCCTCAACCATTGTGTTCCAATCAAACATCTTTGATTGGAACTGAAATAATCTTCTGTGGGTCATCTCACTTGGTAATAGGCACTTTTACGGTCAAACTGCCTCTCAGCCGGTGAATAAAGGCCTATAATCTTAAAAACAAAAAAACAATTTGTGTTTTTAGTGTTCCAATAGAAAGAAAAAATACATTGATTTCTTCAAGGTGTGAATCTTAAAGGGTTAAAGGTGTGTAAATGTTGTTAGCTTAGCCGTAGCATCAACTCCAAACCACTCCCCCCTCCCCTCGCCTCTCCACCAAACCAAACATCCAGCTTTTTCTTTTCTTTGTCACAACAGGGAGAGTGGGTGGCAAACTTGAAATTGGCATTTTCTGTTCAGCCATTTAAGGTTTTAGAAAATCTGTTAACTCCGGTGCGCACACTCGCGAGAAACAGGAAGAGTGTGAAGGAGGTAAACGCATCCCATTGGTTCGTTGGGGATGAACGAATCCCATTGGTTATTTTTATCAATCCGCTCCAAAATATTTGTTATACATTTTTGGAGACTATAGGCATCTGGTCAATTCCATTACTATTTGAAAACATGTGATTGCTTGACTTGTTTAGGATTTAGGGACATTTTCCCACAATATTTAAAAAAAATTGTCTGGGAAAAAAATCACTGACTGCATCTTTAACAGAGCGTTCCGGCCAAAAGAGAGGTGTGTAGACATGTCGTCCAGATGCATTTGAGCTTTTATCATTAGTTCTCATCTAGAATCCCCGTCGAAGCTTATCGGCTGCTAAAACACACACACACGCCACAAAGAGAAAACTGCTTGTAATGTCATCAAATATATATGAGCTTTTGATTACACCTGGAATCAATTCATCCAGAGCCCACCCCATCCACACTCTCTGTGCTCACTGACGCACCCTGCTTACCTGCCTCTTCAAAAAAAATCACTCACAATCTCATAAACGGAGCAGCAAAACCCATTTTTGTCGCACAAATCAAATCAAAAAGGAATGAATGGAGGGAAGGTTAGTGCATGTTTGGCATTGAGTCGGTGGATCTTTGAGAGCGCGTCCTTGGGTCGGTCAGTGAGGCATTGGAAGGAGGGTTGTGGATGGGGCTGTTATCTCCAAGGCTTTCGCTTTCAGTATTATTAAGAAACACATAGGCAGTGTCAGATTCAAGGCCAAAAGCTAAATCTGCGCAGTGGTGGAATGAAAAGGCAACGTTTTCTCACATCAGTCCACACGTTTTGACAAGATGACAAAACGCCGCCTGGGATTAAAGTAAGTGTCAGTGTAATTTCGATAACAAACCGTCGTTACAACCTTGTGTTATTCCATTCAGTTCAAATCAATGTGTTTTTGTATAGCCCTGAATCGCGACAGTATAGTTTTCTCAGAGAATTCGCCAACACAGAGAATCAAACAGTTTAAAAACACAAAATGCAATGATGAAAAAGACATAACACACAGCCATTGATCCATAAGAGGCGGGTGACCAATGTCCATTATTGTTGATAAAGTCCATAAATGTTGTTGAATTTCAAAGTTTACTAGGGTTAATTATTAATTACACAATGTTAAATACACACACAGCCATTGGTCCATAAGGGGCAGATGACCAATGTCCGTAATAAATGCTGATTAATGTCCATAATTATAGGTTTCACAAAGACAGTTTTAACACTATTCTTGTTTTCTGAGTATTTTCAAAAGATAATGATCCCACAGCAACCGATGCATTTGAGAGAATACAAAATGTACTGATTTATTAACTCCTTTCGTACAACATTTGTGAAAGCCCTTGTTAGCGGCTTGTATATATGGAGACTGACCATTGCATGTAGCAAACTAGAATTTGTGTCAATAATGCAGCAGTGAGAAAAAGCAATATGGCTGTAGATGGAGTATCGCAGCGCCGTTGGTACCAGCGGGCGGCCGGTCATATCATCTCATACAAGATGTCAGTTCAAGTAAAGCTGCAGCCTCAGAAAAGTAGTTTTGGGTTAAATAATGCATCAGCAGCATGGCTCCGATGTCTTTTATTCTCTGATCACTCATGGGTCCTGACTCACTCAACTGCCCCTAGAAGAGGACCATATATCATACTTGGAAGTTGTTCAGAAATGTGGTTCATGTTGAATATATTCTGCTACACTACTCTTTTATGATAAGCCACGTTAAGATGACTCCAAGCTCCATTTCCACATGTACCTATGATACTGTATTTGTACAACTGTAATGATGGTGGCTTAAACAGAAGGCAATTATACATTACATATTGCTTCAAGTGACAATAAGTGGACAGTCTGTAAAAGTCTGGTTCAGAATATATATCAATCAATCTTATTTATCACATTAATAATAATAATACTCATGTCCATGTTGTATCATTAAAACAAGGATTAGCTGTTATTGTCTCTAATTTCTCCTCGGTACATTTGACCCAACAATAAATGGTCCAAATGTTGGGGATTATTATGAGGAACCCTGAGAATAATCCCATAACATTCTAGTTGAGAGAGGAAATCACAGATCCACCACTCAGGAGACAAAAGGCAAATATCATCCAGCGTCAAGTCCATTAAATACATGTGAAAACCTTAATTCTTTCGTGACAAAAGAAAAGGAAGGTGGCAGAGACCTCCTCAAAGCTGCATGCGTAATAAGTAAAAACCGCTGCGTTGCGGGAGTAAATAAGGCGAAGTTTAAGTTAAAAGGAAATCAACTCGCTTTGATCCAAACGATCGTGAGTCTTACCTCTCGCCAGCGCCGACAGAACTTGGAAAGTGATCAGTCCGACCGCAAAAGTCCAGCAGCAGCTCCCTCCTGAAAACTGTCCCATCACTGCTCCGTGGGGGTCCGTCCCGGGCTCCGGGGGGCTGGAGCATTGGGAGAGAGGACCACAGCAGCCTGCGGGTCCTGGTCACGGTCTCAGCCCGGTGTTTGCGCTGTCCCTGCCGCCTCAGAGGCTTTCGCAGTGCGGAGCAGACGCTGCTGTGGACGGAGCTCACCGCGCACTGAGAGCGGAGGAGACGCACCGCTCAGGAGCGACTGGCACAGGGAGGGGCGGGGCTCAGGACCTGTTGGAGAGTCCAGGACATATAGGAAATGTACTGTAAGTGCAGTACTGCCAGAAAGACAGGGCATGGATGTACTGTAAGTCCGCATTAGTCCAGTACTGCCAGACAAGACGGGGCAGAATAATACTCTGCTTGAAGGAACATTTAGCCCAATACTTCCTGGTTTAGGACATCTCTATGGGTTGGGTTTATATACACAGTCTGATATCACCAAGTACTTCAGAATCCAGGATCGATGTTAAAATGAACCCTGAACTCCTAACCTCAACTCTGACCCTAACCCTAACCCTAAACCCTTGTGAGAAAATGTATATTTCCATTGACAGTGTAAAACACCTGCAGCTGAAACAGTGAGTTGGTTTACATGTTGTTTTCTTTGCCACCAGCCTGAAACACCGAGGTCTGAACCAAATACACGCCTTACCAAAGTCCACACCAGACCAAGTGGCACAGAAACCAACCAGGGAAAGAATGAAAGTGGTACTTTAGAATAAAAGAATCTCTGCGTCCTGGACCTGAGGCGGTTGTCAATGTGTTGAAGAGGAGCTTGAAACGTTTGACCAACACGTCCTTGTTTCTCTGCTCTTTCCACTGACCTTCAGGCAAAAACACTCCAACAAAATAAAACATATCAAACTACATGAATGATGCGGGGGCTGTGCAGAGGAAAAAAGGAGCATTGAAATAAATTTATATATTTGAAGCCAATTCCTGTATGTGTGCAGTAACAAAAGGGAGAGACCAAATTAACACCTGAGCTTGGATAGGGCGACACATGATATTTCAACGTTTTTATTTAGGCAAAGGAAAGGTAAGTTTATTTGTATTGCACAATTCATACACAAGGCAACTCAAAGTGCTGAACAAAACAAAAGACAGACACACAAGGCATTCAAATCCTAAATCAGTACATTCAAAATTATATATTTATTAGTAAGAGACATGACCCAAAATGCCACATATTTTAGCTAAAGCTTTCCTCCGTTGTTCCTGGACAGACTGATGGCAATAAAACCCAGTGACTTTACATCAATTCAAAATATCAATCAATCAATAAAATTTTATTTATGAAGCGCTTTTCATACAAAAGATGCAACACAAAGTGCTTTACAGTTAAAAGCAATCAGGTTACAGGTTAAAAACAATCCCGCCGGCCCATGTCCCCTCCCCCCGACCACCCAACAGACCCATCCCAAACCACAGACAAACACACACACGCTCCCATGCACACTCTCTGACACACACACACACACACACAAGTAAAACAGTAAAACAATGATGAGAGACTTGGCAGGGTTCGGATGCAACCAGTTGAAAAAGCGTCATCCTAGGAGCCGTCTGCACCAGGAGCAGAGAGCCGCCTGTAGCCACAGGGGACGACACAGGATCTAGAGGAGACCCGAAACCGAGGCCCCAGGCCCCCACCAGGTCCAAGAGTCCGACCCCCACAGCCACACCGACCACTGCTCCCAGTGCAGAGGGCTCCTCCAGAGGAAACACTGGGTACACTAAAAACAATACAATAACAATACAATATGTAAAACACAAAAATGTGAAACTAAAATGAACTAACACACAATACATGAATAAAAGCAATAGCAATACAATAAATAATAGAGGATAAATAGAATATATAAAATGAAATAGTAAAAACTAATCAAAAGCTAATCTAAATAGTCAAACAATTGTTATATGCTGTATATTCAAAAGTCAATTGTTCATCTTGGCATCTGAAATCTCTCTCGTCTCCACATGAAGACTTTATATACAAAGTTTTTAATCTGTTTTTGGTCTCCGTTTTGAAAATAAGTTGTATTCCATCAGCTTCAATATTCAACATGTTTTGTTACTTGCAGTACATGTGTTAGATTTAGCTCGAGGGGTTGAAAGTTTATTTGTCTGGCGCTAAACCAGATCTGGCTTTTCCAAAAAACAACATAGAAGGGCAGATTTTAAGCCTTTCAAACATGTTTTCTGTTTTTGCAAATAAACTATTCATAGACAGAAACCAGTGTAATTGTGGCATAATGCTGTTTACACATTACCATTTTATTCAATTAAAAATCTAAAAGCCCTTCCATTTTATTTAAGAATCTTTGATATTTTGGAGGGTGTTTTCAGCAGTCCACTCTGGCTCTGTGCGCTGCAGATATATGAGGTGCTCTGGCGGTGTGGAGCTAATCAGACTCCTGGGATTCTGCAGGACACTCTGTCTGAGGCTCCTGGGTTAATACTCTGTGCATTCATCACTGAAGAAGAGCTTCCATTCTCACTCTTTTCCACTGCTGGAATATGTAAATAAAAGTGAAAGAACAATCTCAAAACAGATCAGTAAACAAGTAAGTAATCTTCATGTTTATAGCGCATTTTTACAAACTAAGGTCACCCAATGCGCTTTACAATGTTCAGAATTCAGATATTGTTGAGCATCAAAGCCCCAACCCACACCATCCGTTCACTCACTCCTTTCTTTCAGACCTATTGTGCATGTTTTTAGTCATGTAGAGGAACCCGGAGCACCTGGAGGAAACCTACACATACTCCAATTAGCCACAGTGCCGCCCACAATTCGTAGTTATGTGTCCAATCAATCTCTCAAGACGATAATTGTTCCCTCATTTTTTGGATTAGATTTTATTTTGGTTGTTTGTTCATTTGATTATTGACAGATTTTACAACTAACGGTATTATAACCAAAAGAAGTTCTGTAAGCTCGACTCGATTCAATTTATTTTTTGAAAAGTTGTGGATTTCCCAACAACAGAACAGAGAATTGCACAGTTCGAACAAAGACAATGAAATGATAACCAACAAACAGGTCCATAGGAAGATGGAAACCAATAATAAAAAGATAGATAGATAGTTTTAGGTGAAAGACAAAAAATATCGTAATACTACACACCCATAATGGATATCGCTCTAGGTTCCAATATCGTGCAGCCCCAGCCCATTTTGCTCCCACGGATCGATATGACGTAGATCTAGGATTCAGGCTGTTGTGTTTTGTCCACACTGGTCAATGCGCCAAATTATTCGGACCAATTTGTCGACCAATCTACCACTACAACCCTCCCACTGTAGGCAAGGCAAGTTTATTTATATAGCACAATTCATACACAAGGCAATTCAAAGTGCTGAACAAAACAAGAAAGCATTAAAATCATAAATAATCACAGAACATTAAAAAGAAAGCTAAAAGTATAAAACCCCTCAGTTGTATGCACAGTTAAACAGAACTGTCTTTAACCTGGTTTTAAACATTGTCAGAGAGGAGGCCTGTCTCACATCTTCAGGAAGACTGTTCCAGATTTTAGCAACATGAATCTGAAAAGCAGCCTCCCCATGTTTAGTTCTGACTCTGTAGCGCTTGGTGTTCCCAGTGGTCTCCCATCACACAGCTGACCAGCCCCTGCCTTGCTTAGCTCAGGAATGAACAGCACGAGGCGCACACACAACACAGACGTATTAGCAAAAGTGCTGTTTCAGAGTTGGTACAAACCCCCGGTGGACGTGGATCCATCCAGCTGCATGTTTATTTCATCAAACAGATTTTGTGTTTATGAAAATATCCATCTACGTCGATTTTGAGTATCCTCCAGCGCACGCCGCTCTCCCCAAAGCACGCACACATCAAAACTCAAGTAGCGACCAGCGTTGCTAAAGTGGCGGTCCGATCTGCAAGTCAATTGGTTGGTGAGAATTATTTTTGCTGTTTTTTTGGTTGTGTTGTGATTTCAGACCGACTTTGTATGAGGTCGTTACGGAAAGCTCATGATTTGTTTTGGTTGTGTGACGGTGGAATGTTTAAATGAAATGTTTGTTTACTTTTGTGGAGAGGGGGCGTGGCCACTGAGACCGTGATTGATTGTTGTTGTTGCTCGGACAATCTTCTATCGAGCCGAATTTATCCATTGTGAGATTCTTCTTCTTCTCCTTCTCCTCCTTCTTCATCTCCTCCTCTTTCTTCTCCTCCTCCTCCTCCATATCCTTGTCCTCCTCCTTCTTCTCCTTCTCCTCCATATCCTTCTCCTTCTCCTTCTTCTTCTTCTACTCCTCCTTCTTCTCCTTCTCCTCCTCCTCCATATCCTTCTCCTTCTTCTCCATATCCTTCTCCTCCTCCTCCTTCTCCTTCTCCTCCTCCTCCATATCCTTCTCCTTCTTCTCCATATCCTTCTACTCCTCCTTCTTCTCCTTCTCCTCCTCCTCCATATCCTTCTCCTTCTTCTCCATATCCTTCTACTCCTCCTTCTTCTCCTTCTCCTCCTCCTCCATATCCTTCTCCTTCTTCTCCATATCCTTCTCCTCCTCCTTCTTCTCCTTCTCCTCCTCCTCCATATCCTTCTCCTTCTTCTCCATATCCTTCTCCTCCTCCTTCTTCTCCTTCTCCTCCTCCTTCTTCTCCTTCTCCTCCTCCTCCATATCCTTCTCCTTCTTCCCCATATCCTCCTCCTCCTCCTTCTTCTCCTTCTCTTCCTCCTCCTCCTCCTCCATATCCTTCTCCTTCTCCTAGTCTGTAGTAATATGTCTCTTGGATAAAACTATCAGACACTAATGGTTGTTTTCAATTCAATGTATTTTCGAATGCAAGTTTATTGGTATAGCAGAATTCATTCACAAGGAAACTCAAAGTGCTGAACAAAACAAGACATAAGCAATCACATAAAGCTTTAAAATCATACAAAATCTAAATAAATATAAATATAAAACCTATATTAAATGCAGTCGATGACAAAATTGTTGATTCTCCTCCAAACTCCACCCATTTCCTCGTGTGAGTCCAGTCTGAAACTAGGAAGTGGGTGGAGTCTAGTGTGCTCCTGCTTGGTCGGAATGAAAACCCGCAGCTTACACCAGCCTTTCCTGGAACCAGCGTGACACCCCTGATGTAAAAATAGTTGTCCCTTTGTTGGTAAATACAAACTGTGTTCATTCCACATCACACACATCCGCAAACGCACAATTTAATATCATCAAACCCCGGGACGACGGCCGCATCAACCAGCAATATTTCTCATCTGCATAAAGTTTAAGATCACGAAACGGCTTTCTCCTCAGAGACCAATTATCCATTTGCCTCATAACAACTTCACACTAAAACTCAGGCCGTTTGAAGCCGTTTGCCACATCACGGTGCCAGAGTAAGTGTGCGACATTTTGAAAAGACAGGCATCAAACACCACAGAATATTCCTTGAGAAGATTCACCTTAAACGCATCTCTCCGGGTTTTAAAAGCAGCAAAACACAGCGATGACACTTGGGAATTACAAAAACAAGAACGTAGTATTTACCTGTCGCTTTTTTCCTCTTTGTTTCTTTCATCCGTGGATCTTTTTCGTCTCCGTCTGTAGTCGACCTTGTCTCAAAGCCAAACCTGAATAGTCACCTGTCCTCTCCAATCAGTCATGGCCTCTTTCGTACAACATGGCCGGAGAAATAGGTGTTAGCTGGATGTTTTTGCCCTTGTACGAAGCACTTTCTTTCAAGAGGATGGTCAGGGTGGTCATTAGAGCCGCCATAGGTGACACTTTGAAGCTTTTTCTTCTAAACGGCGTCTGAATTCTGCGGCACGAGCACGCAGGGTTCACTAAACTCTGAGCAGATATGGCCCATGTGCTTTAGTTTAACACTGGAACTCCCTGAGCAGTCGATTTGACGAGTTTTACTTTTGGAGGTGTGTTAACTCAGTACATTTTTTTGTCTTTGCGACGTTCTGGTTCTATATGTGGTTTATTTCTATGCACTGCAAAAAATGATAAAATGTGAAAAAATCAAAAATTAAGTGTCATTTTGTATACTCTGACTGTCTTAAAACAAGATTTGCCAACGAGACAAAGCTATTCCAGCTAATTCCAAGTGAGACATTTCTCATATCTATTTAAAACAAAATCATGTTGTTGGTTAGCACTCTCGCTTCTCAGCAAGAAGGTCCTGGGTTCGAATCCCGGTCGGAACAGGGCATTTCTGAATGGAGTTTGTATGTTCTCCCAGTGTCTGCGTAGGTTTCCTCCGGGTACTCCGGTTTCCCCTACCACTAAAAACATGCACAATGGGTCTGGCGTGTGCCTCCTGTTCTGACCCCGCTCCCACCTCTGTGTGGAGTGAGACAAATGCCAACAACTGTAAACCGCTTTGTGACTCTGGTCTGTGAAAGGCAGTATATAAATAAAGAGTATTTACTTACAGTCAAAATGTGCTCAAATGAACACACATTTAGCCAAATTTTAGCAATTTTTGACTTTTTTCATATGTGTTTGTGGTGTGTCATTGTTTTCTTTATCAAATAATATTTTATTTCTGAAATGTGAGGAGTTATATCTTCAATTCTATTAATTTGAATGTAAAAATCAAATACAGTATTATTTGGTTGCTTTCTTTCTATGAAGGTTCTCATTCTGCACTAGTTCTGGTTTTCCGCCAGAGAAGAGAAAGTGCTGGTTACCATAGCAACACACTGTTTACTGTCACCATTTAGCTTTTCCCCAAACTATTTTTGCTGTTATATTGTGTTAAATCAACCAGTTCCGCTTGTATCAAGTGTGCATGAACATAAACGCCTTATAAACAACTTACTTTTGATAGATCTGATGAAAAATTAAACATTTTTTTAGAGGGAGTTGGTTCATTGGTTTGAACGGGAGATGTCTGGGAGAATCGTGGGAGTCCGAGTGTTCACAAATGCTCCAATATTCATCATGTTGATTCTGGAAAGCATTCATTAGAGCTTCATATCCAACATTATAAATTATTACATTACATCATCTGTGTTTGTTTGTTTGTGTCCTCTCTGTTTTATCGTCTCTGGACGTTTGTGTCGGATACAAAGCTTAAAAAATTAAATTCCTTTTGATGTCGATAAAAGTGACTGTAGTGGCTGTATAAGGAGTGTAATACGTTTGTCTCCTGCTAATTCAAACCAAAAAAAATGGAAATAGGGAACACATCACGTTGATTTGAAGGGAGCTACACTGGTCGTCCATTGCTCGGGTTTACAAGATTATATTTCTCACTTTTAAAGCCTGCGAGGTCTGGCCCCAGAGTGTGTGAGAGAACTCCTGTCTTCTTCTGATCCTGCACACAGTCTGAGGTCCTCTGGCTCAAACCTCTTTTCTGTTCCCAGCTCCAGGCTCCAGAGCAGAGGGGACCGGGGCCTTCTCTGCATGTACGGGCCCCTCGGCTGTGGAGCACAAGCAGGAAAATTCTGTTTGTACTTTTTATTCTCTGATCCGTTGTTGGCGACTGCTGTTGTAATTTAAGGCAATATAAAAATACATTGAATTGAATGAATTGAATTTTAGAATCATTTAAAACTCTCCAAAAAACACACATTTATCAGAAACCATTTGTATGATGTATTAATTTATCATTTTTATGCATGATTGTTTTTCATTTGATTACTGATCTTGATTTTTATCCAGTTTTGTGACCTACTCTTAGCACTTTGAAAGGTGCTAGAAAAAGTAAATTATTGTGTTTTTGTTTTGTATAGCACCTTTCACAGACCAGAGTTACAAAGCGCTTTACAATTGTGGGCATTTGTCTCTCACTCCACACAGAGATGGGAGCGAGGTCGCCGTACAGGATGCGCTTGCCAGGCCTAGTGTATATGATTTTAGTGGTATGGGAAAACCGGAGCACCTGGAGGAAACTTACGCATAGTGCTATCCACTCCAGCCACCATGCCGCCCATATCATTATCATATATTGTTTAAAACTGAGCATACAAATGGTTTCATTATCTATTTTTTTGGCTATAGACGAGGCAGGGCAAGTTTATCTGTATAGCACAGTTCATACACAAGGCAACTCAAAGTGCATAACAAAACAAGACACATATAAATCATACATGGCATTTAAATCATAAATAATCACAGTAAATAATAAATACATAAATAATCCTTCAGTGGTCTGCAAGTAAAATGTTTTTTTTACCTGTATTTGAACATTGTCAGAGTAGTGTCTCATAATTTCAGGGAGATTGTTCCAGATTTGTGCTGCATACATCTGAAACGCTGCCTCCCCGTGTTTAGTCCTGACTCTGGGACCAGCAGGAGACCAGTGGATTCATGCTGCACAAAGGCCGCTGTTATACAACATTGAAACGAACAAGAGAAACACACACTGAGCCAAAGAAGAGGCTGGAAACACAGTGAACCCACCTGCTCTCGCCGTGCGCTGGCCTTTTCCATAATGCACCAATCACCCACGGCACTTCACCTCACGCTTAGATGGGTTGGATTTCACAGTTTGCATATTCTCCCTGTGTCAGCACAGGTTTCATCCTGTTGCTCCGGTTTCTCCTAAAACATGTACAATAGGTCTGAATGTAATGAGTTGGAGGTTTTGAAAATTTGGTATTTTAAAAACGTATTTAAAAGCGTAATATAAATAAAGATCACTTACTTACTTATTTACCAAGCCTAGAATGAGACCTACAGCCCCATGTCGTTCATATCTGTCTGAGTGAAAACAGACTAGTACATACAGTATGTTTAATTTTTACAAGAGCATTTTCATACTTTTTCAGTAGTAGTTATACTTTTTTTGCAAATGGCTTACTGTTAAGAAAATGTTCATTTCAAGAAAAAACATTTTTATTCCGACTCTGTCATTCAGCGACATCTATGGGCGTCTATAAACAGATCTATTTATGGACATTGCTCATCTGCCAATGTCATGAGTTTTTTTGTCATTGCATTTTCTGTGTTTGAACTGTTCAATGTTCTGATCTGTGTTGTCAAATCGACATCTTTGTAAAGTCCTTCAAGATTTAGGGCTATACAAGAATGATTTTAATTGAACTCGGGGTCAGGGGTGTCAAACTGGTTCCAAACTAGAACCAGAGACACAGACAGACACCAAAAGACAAGACTTGCATAATGTAGATAGATACAGGCTTAAATAAAAACAGGCTTATAAAAGACATAACCAGTATCTATGCCAGACTGGAACCACGCAACACAAGACCAATTCACCAGCACTACCACTGAAGAGCTCTTAGAGTCATTGAGGCGACAAATGAATTGTAAAATGCAAAGTACCCATGAGACCCTTTAAGCTGTTGACCCGAGTCTGGCAAAACAGCAGACTGGACAGAGACCACTGGACCCTGGCGTTTTTAGCAGCATCCTGAAAGCAGCAAAATAGGCAACTTACTCGCTGTAGCTATGGAGTCCTGAACAGTATGATTGCATTAGTCAAGTTCAATCCGGAAAGACTCAAGACGAAGATTGTATTAGAATATTTATTGTCAAGATGCATGAATAAACACCAGCAGACTTAGATTGAGTACTATTACATTTACTGATAAGCTTCGGCGATTAGACCCCGACAGGAATACTGCATGACGTCTGCAGAAGGGAGTTTAATGCAAATGATGAGCTTGCGACCCCCCGGAGCCTAGACCCTGGTGCTCCACTGACTCCACTGAACAGGCGGTGATGGGGAGGAGGTGGGTTGCTTCTCGAACAGCAGCTTGAGCAGGTGTGTTACTGAGCATCTGAGGCTGATGT